CTTCTTCAAATGTATAGAAGTTAGTTTTTCCCACAGCCTAATTCGGGCCCATCACAATGCAGCAATCGTCTCTAACGAAGCCTCTTACCATCTCTATTCAAGCCTACCAGTTGAACGTTCTTACAACCGTACTAGGGATCAGTAAGCAGCCCAGAGGAAGGGTAATTTCATCGGAGGTGTGAAAGATGAGCGGCGCTACATCCTGCCTGACTGAGAGCTCACCGCTGCTCATGGCCAATAGTTTCAATGTTCAATCACTGGCCGGGAAGTTGAGGGTTCGAAACTCTCTGAAGTTCGTGAGAGGTGTGCTGATGATGAATCCCAAGGAGAATAAAACATCTCTGCAGTGCTTTTCGGCTTTTCAGCATAAGGTGGCTTCATTGACAGGATGAAATTTCCGCTCAATGTTAAGAATACCTTAAAACGTATATATATATCCGTGCTTTTCAGTTTTCAGCTCAGTACGTCACCAAGACTTATATCAAATCAAATGATCCCAGTGACCGTAATTATTAACACCGAGTTTCCTACTAAAATATACTCACAAACTAAAAGAGAGAAGCTCACTTTCAAATTTTAAATGGTACCTAATATGATTATCGTGTATCGCTCAAATCGGTAAATTCAACAAAGGGGTACTACTTTTCTGATGCTATGTGGGACTTTTGGTCAGAGGATGCGAGTACGCAATGCGGTCTAAGCAAAAAGAATCTTCCCAGTGGACGTGAACTTGTGTAATCTGAACAGGTGAATTATTGTCTACCAACCTCCTGGTTCAGAAACATTTCCGATGCATATTGCATTGAAACACTCACGTTTATAAGTTGTCTGTGCCAAGTGAAACACTGTGCAGTTCTGTGCTTTAGTGTGGCTATCATTTCCCCCTTTGTATTAGAAAAAAAATACGTGAAAATTATTTGTAAATGCCACGCACCTTAAGGTTACTACTCTATCATTTAGATTGCACGGTATAAAAAGCGTCAGTAAATATGTCATTTACGTCATCCTGAACCAACAGTTTAATTCATTCATCAGGGAACCGGAGCAAACATGAAGCGTATCTGTTACCAGCGTAAGTCTTTTTCATGCGTATGCATTCCATCACGGAGTTATTACCAACTAAATAAACCCTGCTAAACTCATAAATTAAACGATGATTTGGGTTGGCGTCAACAATTAGGAACTGTCCTAATGAAAGTAAAATGGACTTAGCTTCAGTGAGTGTTCATCCGCGTTTCTTTTAAATCATACTGACAAGCAAGAATATAACTACCAAGCTGCTGTCCGTAGCTCTGTTTAACGAAATACGAAATGCCTGCATTGAATGGTGTCACTTTCAGAATGCCTGGTGAACGTGATGAGAGCGTGAAGTGGAATAAAGCGAAATCTTCATCAATGCACAAGAAAAAGTAAAACGAATAATTTTGAAGTCAGCCTGAAGCATCTTTACGCAAACCTGAGGAAAAGATTTCACTTGACCATGACTTTCGTTGTAGTGATACTGTCGGTCTAAGATGGGGTACGTGAATCACATCATAAAGTTTGGTAGCCGTTAAACAATATGAAGAAGGAGATTTTCCGAGCACATGCTATCAGGTGCTTTGGCGAAACAAGTATGGTTAGGTTACACTATAACAGATATGAAGCAATCGTCTTGTAATCACTTGAATCGTCACTTGATCGTCAAACTTGCCCCAATCTATTGTCTTTGGTGTTTCTAAGACGTAACATTCTTTTGACAGCAAGTTTTCCGGAGTCGACAGAGTTGAAAATTAATTGATTCAAAGTGAAATATTTGGCTCCTTAACTCTGGCGGCCATCATGGTATAAACCAACATCTATCGTTTTTTTCATGCCATACGTAGTAATAATCAGGATATGCTCAGTGCATTCACAGAATGCTCTCCTCATTGGTCATCAAGCTCAAAGTGAAGCGGGGGTCTTTACGTCAGTATGTTATTGGGGTTATGTAGGTTGGCCATAGAATATGGCGGTACGATGAGATACCTGTTGATACCAGTCCAGTTTTTGCAACAAATTACCGCTGACGTTCGCTTGCTGCCGATAAATGCTAGCCGAATACTTCCATCGAAACAATACCTTAAACTTTCACCCTGACGGTTGTTCCAACTGACTCACAGAGTCAGTGCTGTCTGGTCATTGGCTGTAACAGACATGACAGCAAGATGAATATTCTCCAGGATCCCCTAAAAAGTGAAGTTAATTTTTTATAGGTTGCTGCCCTGTAACCGAAATTGCGTAGCACGATGAAGAATTTACACGTCAGTTCCCGAACCTTGCGCAAACTCAGGGGAACCGCCAGACACACTTGAGATATAAGATCTCCCTCATTTCCAGAAACCGGCAAAAATATATCCGTATGAGTAGAGTAACGTCAAATTATATAATTGGCTCCAAATAAGGTGGTTCAAAACCGGATTTCATGGGTTCGTTCTACAGGGAGTTTAGTAAAGTGAGAGCACAACAAAGAGGGCTAGACCTCGAGTAAGTCCAGGAATGCACCCTGCTTTAGTCATTGTGTTGTATGTAGCGCTCCCGAAGAAATTGCATTCCTGTGGAATCTCTAGTTTTGCTGGATTTTCTATGAGTTTTACTAGATTGTTGAACGGCGCGTAAATTCAACTTCACTTCACGCACCAGGAGTTCGTCTATACTTTCGTTCTGGAATTACAATACGCCGTTGAATGCTACATTGCATAGATTGATCGGCAGATTAAAAAGAGGCATCCGCAGCATTTATCTGATGTTTCAATCCCTAAGGCCGTACTGCGGCTTCAAAGACTAATAGTGTTCTTTCTCATCAACGAGAACCAGTTCACTTCTCCCAGATGTAAAATCCTGCTGCCACTGCTGACTTTCTTCTTTTGACGGGGATCTGAGTAGCTGAGAAACTTTTATGGCGGCTGCATCCATATTACTTGTTTGAATAGTCATGGAATCCTCTATGTGCCAGAAATTTGACTGGTATGAGGAGACAGTTGACTCTCATTTCTCTCTTTGCTCAACCTCTTGGTAATGAGTGACTTTGGCCGGAGGGAGATCTCAGGCATACGGGGCGACCATTTTAAGAACCATCTATAAGCGTATGTTTGCTCGAACTAAATTATTGACCTGAAAGGGCGAGGGTTTCACATTTTTTAGCTGTATCATTGTTTTGCGCGGCAAATCTGTGACAACTTGACTGTGTCTGTCAGTCGATCAGTCTGTAGGGGGTCCTCAATCAGAAAGTAATACGGATGATTGAAGCCTTTTAGAAGTTTTGTTTGATCCACTGTGAGTAGCTCCGGAACCTATCGCCGTCAGAGGTGGCAGCCCGATCAAACTTATGGTCTATAAGTTGATATCCTACCGTTCAGACGTGGTGGTTAATGTGCCATTTCTTATCTATCGTACCAGCTGTACCAGAAGGCGGGCTCTATGCAGTACATTCAGTTGAAGAGCTTCGCAAACGGGAGATTCAGCTTGAATTCACTTGTCTCCTTTTAGAACCGAACTGGTGGACAAACGAGTGTACTTCGCGAAACGTTGAAAACATGTGAGTAGTTGGTGCCGGACAGTGTATCCCTCAGGAAGCCAGTCTCCCTGGTCATTGGTTCTCCGGCACCTGTCACTAACTGCTACTACAAAATGACATTCGACCGGAACATGTTACGTCACGTATTTCAGCGTGGAACCGAACACCTCAATAGCCTCACCGTCGCTGATCAAACTGCTTGAGTTTGTTTAATCCACTGGTTATCGAATTGATCAATTCTTCGGTAGTAGAACGGACTGAATGCTTGAAATGCTAAATAAAGTTTTGCATAAATTCGTGGTGGAGACACTCGTTTGGTTATAAGCGACGAAAATTTTAATTCATAAAGAAGCCTCAGTTGGTCAGGGTTGACGCTGACATTCACTAATTATTGCACAACACTGGGTAATACAGTCTATGGGAGCCAGCGATATCAGCTCCTGTGGACCTCAGAATTTCACCAGCTTGTGGAATTACTACCAAAAACTCACTCACTATTGTGGCTGCAATTTATTATTTTGCCCATTTAGCTGTTTTACGCATTTTATGGCACTGATTGGAAAGCCCTGTGATTCACTCCGTCCGACAAGAGGAAATTCAAAGGAGTGGGGAATGATTTATGTTTAATCATGCTTCCATACTTTAAGTCTGTATCCGAGGAGTCAACAGTGATTGCCGGAGGAGTAGTTTCCCTAAAACTATACGAGGCAGCTCAGCAGGTGAAATATAACCGTACTTTTTACCTATCCGAATTATTGATAACACTTGAAAACCCGACTTCTATTGTGGGTCCAACTGTAGTAGCACAGTTCTTCCCAAGTCAATGACATAAAAAATTTCACCTTGCGACATGGGGCGCACGTCATCTTCAGCCAAACTTCCAAGCCTACAACTCATGTTGACTCAAGTAATCCACAAAAACGCAGATTTCCTCTTTCACAGCCAGTAACCCTAGGGAATCTCATGTTTACTGTATTATGAACCAACCTAACATATACAGTGATGTTCATACATCCAACAAAATCCACTCCAATCCGTTTCACTTAAAAGTAACCTCGCTTAACACCGAACAACTCTGCTTCTTTAATCATTCCGCTGGGACCCTCGCATTCGCCCAAACCGTTCCCTAGACCCAACGAATGACAAACCCACCCAGATGCAATTCAGACAATTTACGGAGAGACCAATAACAAATTTCTTCGTTTAAGTCACACTAATAACATAGAACCACCATCCGTTAGGATAAAAGTACTGGGATTCAAAGAATAGTTATATTAAATCAAGCTGGAAATCCGTTTGAAAAGGTTACAGTAAAATAAGCTATTTCCAATAGGCAACGTCGATATAAGGGAGTGGATGTTTAGCAAGATAGTTAGTTTCCGGTAGTATCACAAGTATTTGACATGGGGTGCTCGCAACACCAGCCATCTTAGGCTGCTTTCTGTCTGGTTACAAACACACTTGCTTAGTGGTTTTGCTCGGCACTATGCAACGCGTAGAATGCTCCCTTCAAATTAAGAAGTGTTTCTGGCGGACCCGTCTCGATCTTGCGTCCTTCTGCTAGCACCACAATTAAGTCCGATTTCATAACTGTCGACAGACGATGAGCAACAATCACTGAAGTCCTGGATCCCATGGCCTCATCCAAGGCTGACTGTACAATACGTTCGCTCTCAGTATCCAAGGCGGAGGTGGCCTCATCCAGAAGGAGCAACTTCGGCTGACGTACTAGGGCCCGAGCAATAGCAATTCGTTGTTTTTGCCCTCCAGATAGCTGAGATCCACGTTCCCCAGCCATGGTTTGATATCCCTGTGTTCAGGAGGAAAACACAGAGGCCTAATCTGAAAGTGTGGTAATGGGTTAGCCAGACAAAGCCAATTGTTCATTTTCCTAAGAAAATTGTCTCACAGTAAGCGGTGGTTTGCCTACACTTTCTACGGGTTAATGACCCATGGATTCGACGAAATTCCCGCTACCTGGCATTGCAGTTATCAAGTGTCGTTTCACACAGACAATAAATAATAGATATCTAGTTAATGGGACACGTTGCTCAAAGGTTGCTAAAAATTCGACTGCCAAAAAAACGGTTTCCTCCTGCTTGGGGCCCATCAGAAAAGTACACTATCAAACTTGTGTTCTACTTGAGCGCCCTAGCATGTCACAAAAATTAAATTAACTATTTTAAATGGGGTATTATTTCTGTATGATGTTTTTCACTGCAACGGAAGTTGAGAAATTTCCCACTGAGAAGCGTAGGAGCTCCATTCACCGGTCCATTTGTATTTCAACCGAACTCCAAATTTTAGTGCTGCGAAAGCCTCGCTGTATAATAAAACAATAGGAAAGTTTTATACAGGGAAGTCTAAACAAGATATTCAATACGTATACGCAAATTAATGAACAACCTGAGGTTCTCCAAATTTCATGTCATCATAAATAGTACTGGAAGTATATATATAT